TCTTAAAACCTATTACAAAGTTTATTTATTTATCACGTTCAAGGAATTAACCTACGATGTGAATGTTGCTCGATCGTTTCACAGAAACCGAATAGGAGATTATAACCAATTGTTATATTTTTGTGAATTACTTAGCATGTATATATTAAATACTTCTTAAAAACAAATATTTAATCTTGTTTCTGTAATCGTTTTTGTGTATGAATATATATTAAGATACAAGATTATGTAACAGTTTTTCCGCTTTATTTTAAGGATCTTATTTTTGATTCTATAAAAATAAGTGCTTATAAATTATCCTGATTTCATCTGTGAAAATTTATACATTTACTGCAGATTTTCTGTTACAAACTCTCAGTATAGGTAAGTATATTTGCATCCATTTAGTATTCCTTGTTTACTTAGAAAGGTATATTTCTAATAAGTAGACAAACTAAAAAATATAAAACAATTAATACTAAGGATAATTTATTTTAGAATGTCTTTTCCGAATAAAGAGGAGCGTACAAAGTGTTGGAATTGCAGAGATGAATATTGGAAATGTCTTGATGATGGTAAAACAGAAGCAGAATGTAAGAAATTCAGAGACCAGTATGAAAAGTTTTGTTCTCAAATATGGGTAAGTTTTAAATAGTGCATGAGTATTGTTATCAAAAATTTAATTAAAAAAATAACAATAAAGTGTATTTGAGTAAAAGATACTTTCTACTTTCACAGTATACAATTGTTTAAAATTTTTTATTAAAATTTTTATTTTTACTGCTTCCCCCTAGGTAAAACACTTTGATCGTAAACGAGAGTTTATAAAATTCAAAGAGCAAATAGAACAAGGGGGGTATGTGCCTGAAGACTCAATTCCAGCTCGGAACTAATGTAGCGATTATAATTTATAAGTTATTGCAATTTAAACTAATGCTGTGGAACTGTTCACATTAAGTTTACATATTTTTGTTATTTATAATAAACCAAATGCTAGAAAGTAACACGAATCTGTCTTATTATACTGTATGAAATTCCTTAATCCGTTATATGAGAAATTCTTTGTTTTTCTCTCAATTGTTTAGCACATAGAAAACTTAAAATGAAAGACTGATTTAATGACTGCAAAATAATTTGCTTTTTCACCTATAAAGCAATGATTAATTATTTTTCTTAACTGTTTTCAATTGTATCTGGCTTTGCAGGAATTAATTACATTATTATTACTTTTACTACCATTCAAAAATAATATGTTAAAGAAAATTACTTATTAATTACAGAATATGTGACACTGAGAAAAATAATTCTGGAAAACTTAATTCATCTGCACAAGTTGCTACAAAATCAACAACCGATTTGCAATCAGCAAGTACTGATTAGTATGATTAGAAGGATGATAGCATAAACATTAAAATAAAATATCTTTACTCAAAAATGTATATACAAAATATGGAATCATCTCAATTAATGAAAGAGCTACAATTATGTACAGAGGATACTATAATTTTCAGAGTTAGTATTTTTGCATCGTAATAGTTTTTAATTTGTAGCAATTGTTTCCCAATATTTTTATCAAATGTTTTTATCTTTTCAGAAATTAATCAACTATGCCTTGTCGCATAAACAATTATGGAATGATGAAAATCTGAAGCAATGGCAACCAGTACTCAGATACATTATACAAATCTTTATTCCAAATCCAGAAATAAGAAGAGAGCGAGCTCTAATAGCTTCCCAGACATTTTTTGCTTTATTGTCAATGGATCCTGCTTTAGTATTTTTAAATCGTACTCTTAAGAATTTTTTAAATTCAACTTCTAATGAGCTATGCTTTTTGAATGATAAATATGACACTATTGATTCTGAATTGTTCAAGTTAATTAGTGCTTACGGCTACTTACAAGTAAACTGTAACGAAATATATACTAACGACGTTTGTTCTCTAACTTTTTATATGACTTATGAGCACTGTATTAAGTACACTAAGCACTCTTATTTTGCATACAAAGTATTGCACTTGTGGTTACACAGAACTATGAATACATATTTCTGGGACATGTGCGAGTTAGTAATAGAGAAAAAACTGGAGGCAATTATTTTTTCAAATTGGTGTAATGCAATCAGTGAGATAAGTAAACAGAATACTATATCCATTTTTAATATGTACTTGAAAATCATGGAGAAAAAGTATGATGGTTACTTGGAATTTATATTTGCACATTGCATTGATAAAATTTCTTGGCAAAATGAGATAAAGTACGATATTCTTGCTGAAATTTGCGAAGTTTGGAATAATGTTGGAGCGATGACATCCAGTGAATTTTTACTTTCATTATCGACTAGTCTAACAAAGTACAATTTGCGATCAGCAGGAACAAAAGTTTATATTGCCATTGTAAAGAAATTAAGCGAGGATGAGTGGAAGAAAGCTTTTGGTTGCACAATCCATTATCTTTTTCATCATTGGGAGAAAACAGAAGGGTAAGTTTAATTGTAGATTACGTGACAACATTAATAGAATAAATTAAATATGAATTTTTAACTACTTACAGAGCAAATTACAATGCTCTTCAATTACTCTGTAAACACTGGCTTGAACCAATTGCAAAAAGATATAAGAATATTCTAACATACTTATGGGATCTAGCAAAAGATATTAATGGATATTTCATTCAATCATATCTTCAAAAATTAGCTAAAGAAATGAATATTGATCTTGTACAAGAACCAAAGATTGAATACTACATAAATCACAATAAGGAAATTGTAAGATTGAATGGATTTGCAATAAATTGTTTTCAATTAAATAATTTATATGACAAAAATAGAGATCAGTTCTTTACAGTAAGAAATTTCCTGTGGAATAATGCAAATAGCACATCAGTGTTTATGAGAGATTCTATTGTTAAATATTTTAAAATATTTTATGCCAATGTGTTAAAGATGAGCGACAATCAGCCAGATTGTATAAATGATCTTTATTATATTACACATTGGTTGCACGAATTTTTGCTGGACTGCTTTGAAATTGGATCCTGTTATCAACGAAAAATACTTGGTTTGAATTTATACAAAGCCATGCTTTGTTTTACTAACGCAAATGCATTGAATAAATCTAACAGCATCGAAAATGCATCGTCCACTTTACTATTGCAAAAACATTTGAAAGAAACAAACAATTGGAATTTCACAAATAAACTAAGCTTATTTAATTTATTGAATCTTGTATTAGATTCTGCACTTGATATTAAACAACTAAGTACTTCCATTATACTTGATTACTTCGATAAAGATTTATTGACTAATTCGGAGAAACAAGTAAGATAATAATTAAAAAATAACATTTTTTTATGATGAAAAAATAATTAATAAACACTACATTTCTAGGTATTATACAGAGTAGCCTTGCTGCGTTGTAATTCCTATAAGTTTTATGAAATCGAAAGTGGTGCAGCTCTATTTACAATTATAGCAAATTGGCTACCTTTAGATGATTTGGACAGATGCACTACTTATACTAACTATTCAAGTTATTCAGATTTCTTGCTTAATGAAGCAGCAAATCAACTAATTCAGATGAAAGAAGATGTGCTGAAGGCAATTGTTCAGAACAAACCATTTTATGGAATGCTAGCCGCTTTGTTAAATATTGCTTTTCGAAACGGCCCAGAACATAATCGTTTAACTCTGGAATTCGTTGAGAGAATATTATCTATATTGAAGGATGCTACTAGTTTCTTTTTATCCATATTGTCTTCGAAGTCTGAAAATAGAGGTTCTAACAAAAAAAATCTGAACTTTATACTCAAAAATGTATATATAAAAACACAGATGTAATTAATTTGTAATTGAACTTGTAGAGTATTCATCGTCTTTCGCGGAAATGGGATTAGCAATTGATGCAGTCATTAAAAACAGTGAAATCAATAGCATTGATTTTGATGAACTTTCTTTAACTCCTGCACATCAGGTTCTTATTTCTTGTATTTGGATGTCTCTAAAGGTGCGTCTAATTGTCGTGATATAATAAATGTCATATCATAATCGAATAAAACAATTTACTCTTTTCAGATTTCTTGTGAAATAGCTTCTGAAGTAGGAATACTAATGCATTCAGATGAAACTGTGAAGTGTTCTACTAACATCATTGTTACTGTATTACTCAGATGTAGACACAAAGGTGTAGTGGAAGCTGCAGGTGCAGCAATAGGTCGTTTAACTAGGTATAAATTAAATTAAAAAGTCCTTCAAGTTTTGCAATCATGAATAATTAAAAATTATAGGTGTTTATGCAACCAAGCTAAATATTACGACTTGACGAAAATTCAAGTCTTGCGTATTCTAGAAGACGACGCTATGCATTCCTTGAACATTACCAGAAGAGGTGCAGGATTGTCAATAATGTTTCATAGAATTGTCGTCAGTGACAATCGTAGAGACAGACCCCTTCTGCATTTTGCAGTGCAGATGTTGTTGCAATTACTGGATAATTTTTCCAGTGCTTCTTCAGGGAATGTAAAGTCACAACACGATTCTCCTTGGGCAAGACGTCTACATTTTCTTCGCGCATTGGTAGCTGACAAAGAAATACAGGCACAGTTGATTCCGTACATGGAGAGGATTACATTGACTTGCTTCAGATTCTTGGAGTCTGAACTGTGGACCATTAGGTAATACATAAAACTTTCCCAAAACCGTAACAATGGTTATAGATGTTTATATATTTCAGAAATGCAAGTCTTCAGTTGTTTGGCGCAATCGTTCCACGATTGGTGGGCCAAAGTTATGGAGAAACTCTAGATTTTACAACTGGATATCCCATCAATCACTTTGTTACACATTATCCTGTACTCTCAAATTACGTCATGGAAGAACTCCAAAAATTTTCTTCCACTTTTATGAATTTTTCTACAACACTGTACTTGCACTCGAACATTGTACACGTTCTCATACTCCTTTCAAAGTTCACGAACAGTGGTTGCAATTTAATCAATTACTCTTCTGAGAAATTTGTAACGAAGGTGAAGCTTTTATTACGTAAATTGTTTAAAAATCCCATTTGGTACATCAGACTTTTGTCTGCAAAGGCTTATGCGGCTTTGACGGACTTCTTGAGTATTAAGTTTGAGATTACAGAGCTAAAACAGTATGTTTCTTTAAGCAAGGGTGCTAATTTAATCCACGGTAATTTATTAACTATAAAATATCTGAAGGAAAAACTATCGATTGAAGCTGAAAATTTGAGTTTGGAGTCGCATGTTGTACAACGTACAAACACTAATAAACAATGCACGGAGCTACTACGATTTCGAGAGATATTACAAATTTGGGACAACATGTATAAAGAGGAAAGTAAAATTTGTTATGTATTAGAAACGATGCGTTTACAATTAGCAGATTCTTGTTTAGATCAATTAAACGCCACAGACATATTTCTTTTCGATCAAAATATTTCTGTATTCTCTTCTGAGAGGACAAAGCCAGGCTTCTTCCAATTTGTTGATTATTCTACGAAACTATATGCAGATTATGTTAGAAGAACAAATAACATTTCCTCTGACACTGTTTACTACATTTTATCCTCCCATAATATGGACCAATGCACTTCCTTCTTAGATAATGTAGGAAACTGTATGTTAGTTTTAAAAATTGTTCTTGAACATTTACTACTGAACGAAAACGATTTTATTCAAGTGAACGTGAATGCAATGTTCAATTACGCTCTGAACACTTTGCAAAAGTTATCGTTGCAAGATATCAATAATTTAGACATGAAAAAATCAGTGAAAAATTTATGTTTTCAACGAGAAGAAAGTGCAGGAAATTCTAAACTATGGCGCTTGAAGTCTATATTAATAATAATGTATTCAGAAGACAACGCAATTATAAATGAGATATTATCTCAGGTTCTGAATTTATGTGTTTATGAAGAAGAATGTAAGAGACAAACGGCGGTCGAATTTATACAGTTCTCGATGCAGCGCTTTGCAGAGTTAACAAATGACAATAAATTAACAATTCTGCACTGTTGTCTGATTTTGCTAAAAGATGAAATCTCAGAAATACGTGAATCTATCGTGCAGAGTCTAAGACTGCACGTTTTCCAAGAAATTGCACATGACGAGTGCATGTACCAAACATTATTAGATGAAGTAATGCTCGATCGACTAAAATTAGTTTCAGATAAAAATGCAAATCTGTTTTTCATCAAACTGTTTACGCACAATGTTAAAAACTTCGACGTTGACATGACAATTGTAAATCCCTTTTACCACGATAACAATCCGGTTTACAGGGAGGAGTCGAAGTTTTTAAATCTTTGTTTTTATTACATACAACGAAATAAGTACAATTCTGACAATGGTTCAACAGAAAATACCGCAAAGTACAGTAACGAGAGCGACGTTGTTGACGTCTTAAATAAGATCGAAACAAAATATTGCCTTCAGCAAATGTATCGTCACGATTTTACTAATTTAGAAGTGTTCTTAAATACTAAATACGTAGACTATTTATTAATGAAGCAAAAAATTGTAATACAGGAGTACATTTAATGATAATCACAATGTACAATTGAAACGAACGATAAGCACCGAGGCTTGGATCTTCTAATTAAAAACTAATTGTACTTGTGAGGAGTCTCAAATAAATCTTTTCTAACCCATCAAAGTACACAAGAAAAATTTTAATAATCCCGAATAAATACATCTGTACACCTTACGATTAAATGAATGTGTGGTGCACACTCACAAAGCATATAACTTCGTATTTACATTATGCTACATGTAATCGTATCAGAATATTAGAAAATTTTTGAACGATCGTAGAATATATTACACATCGCGAAGATTCTCTTCTCTTTCTTTCTTTGAATATTCCACTGGGTCATACACCTTTCATTCTCGTATCTACAGCCTACACGATACCAAATATGATTTGGCAAAATTGCTATCGTGATTCAAGAAACATTTCTTTGATTTGTAGAGCTACACGAGGTAAATTAAAACTATCCACACGTTCATAGATTTGTCCGGTGAAGTGTCTTTGAAAGGATCTTGACATTAAGCATATAAAATTACAAAACATTAATTAACTTTAAACGAACTAGTTTGTTTGAAGAATCATTTGCTAATCGCGCATCGTCCGTTACTTAAATGCATTAGTAATTAAATAATAATTAAAGAAAGAAGATGTCATTCTGACAATTAATAAAATTATGCTTACAATAGAATATTGAATATTTGTGGAACTTCTTTCTTCAATTGTAAAAATATTAGAAATTTATGTCTAACGCCATTGAACACTGCATCGTGCTTTGTAGTTGTGAAATAATTGCACGTACTAAGACTAAAATGAAAAAAATGTGATGAAAATTAATATGCTACAGTATAACGTTACAATTTCGATACAAAATGAAATAAATTCTACAGATAGGTACAGTTCATTAAACGTTCCAATTTTCTATAATTATTAGGTGTAAAACTATATCAACGTAATGCATCCAAATAAATTTGCAGTACTCTTCCAATCGCAATGCATTTTATCGTTTTGAGTTTGCGAACTACTTGTTTCAGGTCAAATAGTCTTAACGACTATTTGTCTCGCCATCGTGATATGTCGCTAACGATTATAGTAAATTTCTTTGGTGATTCTCTCTATTTACATCAAAGTATGTTTATATAATAATTGCTAGAGTGTGCCTAATCTTATAATCATTTCCATGGAGTAACACTTTTCCAACAAAGAAAATTATGCGAACACGTTTGCGAGTGTTTCCTTTTCTTCATTACTATTAAGTAGTCAACACTACAGACGAACATTAAACTAACTTTGTTATTACTACTGCTATTAATAGTAAATGTGTGGATTCACGCGTGAAAATTATAATCAAGGATTACGCAGAATTTCAATGCACTACCGTGAAGCGGTGAAAATTATTGGAAGTCTATATATCTTGACAATATTGTCTAATGACAATTATAGAAAAAATTACTATCGTTGATCTATTAGACAGCTAGTTTGGAATTTCAATCTTTTTAGAACAATTGATACGATTAAAGTATTTGTTGAAAATAGATTTATCAAGATCTTCGTATCAATCTAAAATTATATGATTCAAAATGTGAACAGGTTTATGTGTTTTATATTGATTCGAAAGTGTAACAAACAGTACGTGCACAACTATCTTCAATTTTTTTTCCATTTAAATTTATCAATATACTTCTTTGTATCGCAATCGAGATACTCCCGTACACCTGAGTACAGAAACTTGTGCTTTAGAATATAGAAGCACGTCTAATTAGTGACAGGGTCAACTTAAACATCAGAAATTAAGAATTTCAGATCTAGCAGAAGAGATTATTGTACCATTCGGGAGGAATTCCTGGCAATAGTGAAGTTTATTGAGCATTTTCACTATCTCTATGGGCGAAGATCCCTTCTGAGAACCGACCATGTAGCTTTACGTTGATCACTGCCTTTCAAGAACCCATAACGGCTCCAAGAATATGACTTTATGGTGAAACATTGAGAAGGAAGACTCGAATATGAGAACTATAAGCACTGCAAGAGTTTAAAAATAAAAACAAGAAGAAATGAAAGAAATTGGTGAGGTAATAGCCTTCAGGATTGCTTGAGAAACTTGCAATAGTAAAAGATGCAAGACGAGGGCGAAGAAATTGCTTTCGGCATGTCCAAGAAGATGGGGTGTAAGAAAGACATTTCCTTCCATTGCAGTCTTTCCTTAGTAGTTGTGGACAGCAGACCCTGCTATTTCCAAATACCATAATATCTAAGAGTATTGTAAATTATAAATAAACAGTTACTTCTTCTTTATGTAAGACAAAGAAAGTGTAGAATAATGCTGTGACGTGGAATGCGAGACAAAACGCGCAATAATATATTTATACATGTGCTTTCGTTATATAATTTTGCATAATAGAAATATTCAGGAACCATTATTCGTTTATACAACTGGATCAAGTACGTAGCGGAAAGCCACAAAAATATATTTATTTTCCTTAATGTAATATCTTTCCTCCATTTTTTTGCAACACGATTTTCAACCCCTCAAATCTGTTATTCTATAAAACTTGTAAAAGAAATTTGCATTATAATGTACCTTGATAAAATATGAAATATTCCTTTGTTAAAATTTGAATGAAACTGTACCTTTTCGTTGAGCATTATTTCTCTATCAATGGGACGTTTAACACGACCGTTGCTATTTTATATTTTAAATAAAATAACACCGCAACGAGAGTGTTACACATTTCATTGTCGATTTCGTCTCCCTCCAATAGTAATTAGTAATCTGAACAATTTAAAAATGGAAACATGTAGAGATCTTTTCTTCCCTCCCCGTCGTTTCGTTTCCGCTTCGTGTGAAAGATTGTCAGATTCGCGGTAAATTGTAACGTTATTATAATTTGAGTACACATTTATGATTCAGCGTATAGTGAAACGGTGAGGACTAAGAAAAGTATCGTTTCGACACACAACCTTGTATTCCTTAAATTTCTTTTGTACGGCCAAAAATGCATAGGCACAAATACAAGAATTCTTATCTGGCATCGAAACCGTACGATGCTAAAAAAAAAGAAATATTAAAATGGTTCCAATATTTGTGTTCATAAAAGAAATGTAAAATAAGTGACCACTTCATTTATGCTATTCTCTTATTTGTATTTCTCTTTAATCTAAGTTCTGTAATAAACTATTCAAACGTTCTAGAAAGTGTCTATAAATAATTAAATATAGAAATGTGAGTAAACCGTCATGAAAATTCATGCAAAATTTAAACTCTATAGAAACGTAGTTGTGAAACGACCACAAAAAAACCGTAGAACAATGGCTAGTTAATTATTTGAGCACGGGTAAAAGATCATTAGAGTAATGAAATAGTCACAAGATACCTTGATTATCCGCATATGAAATTGTCACTTTAATTCTTCGGTATATAAAAGGTTTTTTCAGTTTATAATTGTTTACCAAGCGATACACGATTTTTCTGAATGATGCAAACTATATCATTATTTTTTGTTTTAAATATTTTTACACTCTGATAGATTCCTCATCCGTTATCAATTAATCTTTCTTCACTTGAAACAAGTAATTCTTTTGTTTAAATTACTTTCATTAGTCAAAATAGGACTGTTACATCCGCTATGTATACCTAGAAATATTATGTGCTACAGAATACAATGAATTTACTTACAAAAAAAATCTTAATATGCATCCATGATTATGTGCAATATATATTATTGATAATCCTTACTCCTGCATTTGGATGCATCAACTTAATTAAAATTTTTAATTTTTTCTTAATATCATACGCTAAATGTCTTTAATGGAACTTCTTTCAGACTGCTTAAGGATAATCCCATTTTTAAACACATACAAAATATATTACACTAGAAATAAGGCTAGCTGAATAAATCCACATGCTTTCGTCAGTATTATCTCATCCATATATTCGCTTATATGGATTATACCACGCACAAGCTCAATGAACATTGTTTCGTGTACTTGGTTCCTAATTTAAAATCGCACCACCATAGAGCAAAGCGGTATAACTAAGAATAAAAATAAATGTAGATTGCAAACTGATTCATGAATAGATACCTCTTTCTTCTATGATATTATCGATTATCAAAGTGCCTGTGATTATTTTTGTCACGTTTAGTACTCAATAATATACTCATTTGTTATTTGGCCGTCTGTCCAAGACCGACGGATGATTTTGTCTTTTGCGATGATTCTGCAGTTTCATTTGGTTGGTCAACATCCATCTGAAATATAGATGCAACAATTAAACACCCAATATCATACGATACATCGTGTTGCTCGAATTGAAAATACATTACTTTTTCCTCTTTTTCATCATCAATTAATATTGGGCCATTCTCAGCTTCATATTCTTTTAAAACCGCATCTAAATTATACCTCCTTCGATAATTGACAAAAAACGATCGTAAATGCGCTTCTGTTTTTGTTCCAATTACATCAGCGATCGCGGAAAAATCTTTTCCGTATTTCCTAACACCTTGAACGGCCAGTAGTAGCTCATCGTTTGTCCAACGAGCGTTTATACGACTCGACACTTCCGGCGGTCGTAGATCATCGATACCATCAGCTGTCTTCCGTTTCAATGCGCTCACTTGTTGCTTGTTTGATTGTATCTGTATATTGAGAAATAAATACTAATAATACATATTCTACCACTGAAGAATTGAAGCATATTATTCTTTTGTATTTTCAGAAAAAATGTATCCACACGTTTTTCGTTGCAAACTCATTAGTCTTGTTAAAGAACGTACTTGTCGTTTTAAGCTAACAATTTCAGTGTCGATTGCTTGTAAACTGTTGTTTGCTTGATTCGGTTGGCCAGCCAATGCTGCTAAATCATCGTGATTAACGACCAGGCCGCGGGGTGGTTTTCTTTTATTTGTACGACCCGGCATGGAACTTAATGGTCTTGCTACACCAGTTCGCCTAAATCATTTGAACAAGTTTGATCTCCATTGTACTGATTGATTTTATAAATGGAAAGGACAGGTATGCATAAAGTAAAGATACTTTTCTTTCATAGCATTAGCTGGTGCACTGATAAGAATGCTCATACATATAAATATCTGTATGAGTAATAATAGTAGAGTTCAGTCTTGTGCTATTTGTATATGTAAAGTATAAAGAATTTTGTATGAACATTCTTACTTTGAGGAGAGTTCTAATAATTTTGTTTATTTACAGATATTTAATTTGACTTGCACTCACTGACCTCCAGTGCTGATAGCAGCTGTGACACGCGTGTCCTTTCGGCGTCGCACGTACACTATGACAAGCAACGCCACAGTTGCTACACGAGCCCTACAACACATAACACCCTTTTTAAGATAAGATCCGATCATCCCCCCACCCTCTCCCTCCACTTGAATTCCTTTACATTTAACTAAACTAATTCTCTAAAAATGTAACTTTTTACAAAACAAAAATATTGAAGTATATACACGAGAGCATGTTATCTTTTAGAACTTTTATACATCTTTTTCATAGAAGATGAACTATATTGAATCTATACTGTACTTGTGTAGTTTTGTTAATATCATTCAAGCTGTCATAAGCCAATCTCTTTCTAAGTTAATTGATTCTCTATATGTTGTGTTTCCCTAGTATTATTCAGTGCTTTGTGCACTTCAATATTTTTTCCTCGGTTAGGTTTCAGCCTACCAAATCTGCTAATGTGTAAATCGTGTTTATACAAGGTTCTCTTACTTTCTTGGTTTTCTTTGCTGTTCTCTTGTTAAGATAAAAGGATTTACACGACAGAGAGAAAAATAAATATGATACACAAAATAGCAAAATATAATAAGCATATGCAACTGGGTAAGGTTTAGGCTGAGTACCTGAACCTGAGGGGCGTTTTCCGAGTCGGATGGGGCTTTGGCGTCAGTGCCTTGGCTTCCTGGCACAGCTTGGTTCTTTCCACGACGTATTCCGCGGTGGATCGTCCATTTCTGGAACGTTCCACATTTACGTTTCACAAAACGATACAACGAAAAACGAGAATATAATCTTTAATTTTGTATATACTGATGGCGACGTAGATTTGTTTTTTGAATAATTAAGAAAGATATGTCTTTGTTATTTACATTGCGAAATGCATGGGTCAGTTTTAATCGTTATCGAGAGCTCGAATTATTTTGCAAGGACGAATTCATTTTATATTTAATTTTTTATTTTTCGATACTAGCGACTTTCACCAATTGTAGATCAGCTTCCTTCGTTATCGCTCTTTTATTCACCGCATGGAATACGTTACCGTGTGGATACATTTTTTAAATGCGTACAAATATCTCAATGTCACACTCGCGTGTTTATAAGCCAGTGCCATGGCATTAAGATGCAACAAAAGGAGAGAACTACCACACGCCGTAGCATAAATATTAATTGACTTAAGACAAAACTAACTCCATCGAAGAGTTGCAAAACGAAAACAGTAATACAAAGCTTTAGGTTTATAAAAAATTAAACAAGCAACTAAAACGAATTCGTTATTCTGTCTTAGTGAATAACACAATTTTTTACGAATGCTTAAGAATTTATAGCTATTGTCGTTCTAAAATAGAGAGAGAGAGAATTGATTTTATGTAGATATCTAATTGCATGCGTTTGTTAGATACTTTGAAGAAATATCTTACTTTTTCCTCCGATTCACTGTCTGTATTGGAGCCTAATTCACTTCCATTCTCGCTTCCATTTTCCCCTTCTTTCCCACCACTTGTTAATTTTCTAGCTTGTCTATCCATTAATGATGTTCTAGTTCTTGTTTTCTTCCAACTATAATAATATTTAACCAAGCTAGCGATAGATTTGTCAGGTAACTGTGAAAACAAGAAATAATTATTATTTAATGGAAAACTTTATGTAAATGTACAAAAAAAGTACATTTTTAGACATATATACTTCATTCCAGGTAAGATATCCTACCATTTGCCTAATACGATGAAAACTTTTTCCATGAAACTGGAAAGCTTGTTCAAAAAGAACTTTATCCTCAACAGTCCATTCATCTGGAAATGGTGTAAAGTTGGCTAAGTCTAATACAGCACGTTCTAAGTTATGTTTATGCCAAAATAACATTCCCAATGCTTGTTCTCCATTGTAGCCATATTTTTCCTTGGCCAATATAATGTACTCATCCACTACAGACAGTTATTCCATATGAGTCATATATGGTAAGAAACAATTTGTAATTCAAATGATAAATTCTTCTATTACTTACATTTTTGATCAGGTATGTCAGTTGTAGGAGACCAGACCAGTAATGCTCTATCAGGACACTGATCTAGTCGTCGCTCTAAAATTTAAAATTCATAATTTTGAATTCTCTTTTCCTCTTGAAGAATAATTCTTGGACATGAAGTTGTTATTTACTTATATAAAATATATTATAAACTATAATAATTACCAAATAATTATATAAAAGAAACATACCATTGACAGGAACAAACTCTGGAACAATGACCTGATAGTCCCGTCCAACACGTATTTTTTCTGCTGGAACTTAAAAAGAATGACTCTTAATGCATTCAATTACAACATTAACTTAAAAGTGCATAATTATGATACCTAAATGTAAAATAAATTGAATATCACGTTTCTTTTATTTATATTTTAATAATACACGGATGACCACGATTACTAATAATTTCAATTTATAAATATACAAAATGTTTCATTATAATCGATATATTTCGATAAAATACTAAAATGCATTCGGATATAGGAAGACGAACGTAAACATTAAACAATTAACAAAAGAAATGTTTGAATTTGTTTCATAAAAATATCGGTAGGAATTGGTTGAAAATGTAAAGAACTTAAAAAGAGGAAAAGTGGGGCGCGCTGTTTGAAGATCCTTACGGATTTTCGCATTCGATCAATAGAAAAATATACAAGCTTCCAAATAAAAATACCATCATCGTAGTTTAGATCACATCGATTAGTGATCATTAGGAAAGTTTCGATTAATTATAAAGATAATTCAATTGCAATTGAAAATTGGTACCTCCGTCTTCCTCACTCGAGGATTCCGTCTGTCCATTGGGGCTGGGGCCTCTCGATCTGCGCCCATTTCTAACGTTTTCCGAGTTTCTTTCTGCCAAAACCATCTTCTGGCTTTCCTTTCGTGAACGTTTTGTCAAATTATTATGCTGATTATGTCCCTTCCGCACGGAAAACTCGCGAAACCAACGATGCAAGCGATAGCTTGCAATTACACGGTGTTCCGTAGAGTCTGGCTCACGCTTCGTGCGACCGTAGCGAAAGTAAAATGGACGCTTATTGAAAGTGATCTGATTGGTCTACGATTTACCAAGTAAAGATGGCAACATGTATTTTCAATGTACAATTTCGAAATTAATTGCATCTTTGGAAACCAGTTTTCCGTTAATTGCTTCGCACCCTTATAACTATATTTTGTGCATTGTATTGCATATAAAAAATAACAGCTTTTATTATTATATAAGTACTCTTTCAATAGTACTAAATATTTTTCTATAAAGAATAATAACATTTTGAAATTTAATCGAATCTTAATTGTTAATTAAGTAAGAATAATAATACCTTCCAAACTAAATTTTCAAGCAAAGAATACAACATCCAAGTATTTATCATACGAATATATTTAAATGCATTATAATTTCAATAACATATTTCTATCATTATAGCTTGAACATAATATAAATTAGAGTTTTCAATAAGTGATGTTAAAATTAATAAACAAACGACATGAAGTTATATAATTGCAATGTAACAAGAGTCTGAAAATTGTTTCGAACCAATTTGTTCAAAACATTAGTCGTACATACGTACCTATTTGAAATTGTACTGATCTTGTACAATTAGTATAATACATTTACATTTTACAGACATATAAAACTATAAAACTTGTATGAAAATCAGTATTTAAAAAAAAACTATGAATTATAATTATAATTTTCTTCAAATTGCATTACAATCAATAAAATGTAACATAAAAATTTGTAAGATTGAAATAGCAAACATCGATACATATTGTATCTTATACACTGATGATGTCACGAGGTAAGGTCGTGCGAGTTTTACTTGAGAATCTCTCATCAACAACTCTGGTTTTTATAAAATATCTAAAAAAAATTTGATAAAACATCGTTGCAAATGTAAATATAATTAATTATAAAGACAATTTCAGAGAGAGATTCATTTAATGATTATCATAAACAATCGTAGAATTAAAATAAATCATAACCTCAATTTCTACGGTTTGTGTTGAAAGTCTATCACCGAGAGGCGCCACTATCAAGCAATCGCAGTCTCTGATAGACTTTGCCGTGTAAGGAACTTTCGTCGCCTATTTAATGTAAATATTACATTTGTTGAGAATTTAGAGTTTATTTTAGCGTACGTAAGCTCGAAATTGTCGTTCTCGTTCCCCGTGCAATTCGTTGCTCGGCGTCATTCCGTAATATTTTTCGATCTAGCCGAGATCGGCAATAACCAAAAAATTTCTCCGTAGGTATTCTTTTTTTCTTGATAATCGCTGGTCTTTTTTCTAACATTTTGTTGGACTTGAATTTTATGTTCCACCTCGTCCCGTCCTGCGATATTCCGGAGAGAAATCCAGGATCCGACGTGATTGTTTCCGGAATTCGTGACATTCGCTGTTTAGAATAGTACAGCGATTAATTTTTGTTCACCAGCCAATTGTTACACGTATTAATAAGTTAAATTGAATATCCGGTATCTTTTTCGGCTCTACCTTTCTTATCGTTTCGCTCAGAAGAACGGTACATTATTTTCTCTTTTCGAAATCATTTTGTATTAAGGACTGTGAACTAGTCTGCTTCTCAAATTTCCTCTGGAAATGTTGTTGTCTAAATTGTCTTATTTATAAGATAGGGTATACAAGAAACACTTGCGCGTATGTATTTCGTAAATTTAATTTTGGCTTAATGTATACTCGCAGGCAATGTATACATATGTAATCCTAAATATGTCCACATGTTTCTACAATTATAGTGTTTTTATGTTGTGTGTTTCCTTATCCTCTGACACAATTATTTGTGCATTAATATTTACTACTTATTCTTGTGTAAATGTTGAGAATGAACAATAAGTTTATGTAAATATGTGTCTTTTAGTTGTTAACTTTGATGTGCACGCAAATTTATACGTGATATAGTCATGTAATTTGTTTATGCACTTATATGTACTTAGATATATACATGGTATTTGAGAGGATAATTTATACCTATAGCTATTATAATACACTAAAGAGATTTTATTTGTCAAGAATACAATAAAATATTCTTTCTAACTGATTTTTTAAATAATTTTATTGCAGATGATTGTCTGAAAAGATATATTCAGACTTATCTGCACCCCCAAGCTCCTAACAAGTATTTTGAGAGATTTTAAAAGTAAAGCAGAAACATGAGAGTTGTTGCACTAGTCAGCGGTGGTAAAGACTCTTGCTTTAATATGATGCAATGTATAGCTGCAGGCCATGACCTTGTGGCTCTAGCAAACTTATATCCTGTTGGAAAGGGTAAAATAATAAATATAATATTTCTGTGAAGATCTAATCCATTGTTTAATTGTCACAAACTCAGTTCAATAGTAAGTTTAATAAAGAAGAAATTAAACATTTTCCAGATGAGCTAGATTCTTTTATGTTTCAAACTGTTGGATATCAGGGTGTTGAATATATTGCAGAAGCTATAGGCTTGCCAATGTATCGTGAGCCAACATTTGGCAGATCAAAAATGCAAGAAAAATATTATTATCCAACAGAGAATGATGAAGTTGAAGATCTCTTTAGGCTGTTAAGTAAAGTGAAGGTAAATACATGTTATAAATGTGCAAACAACAAAATTTGAATACTCCTTTTTATTTTATTACAGGAAAAAGAAAATATAGAAGCTGTTTCATCAGGAGCTATTCTAAGTGACTATCAACGAATTCGAGTGGAAAATGTGTAATTATTTAATGCAATTTTTTCAATAATTAATTCTGTTAGTCATGCAGGATAATCAATCAATGTATAATAAACAACATACGTAATGAGAAAAGCTTATTTTCAGGTGTAGTCGTTTAGGACTGGTTTCTTTATCATATTTATGGAGAAGGGAGCAAGATGAATTGTTGAAAGAAATGATAGAAAGTTCTGTAAATGCAGTTATAATCAAGGTAGCAGCTTTGGGCCTTGAACCAAGACATTTGGGTAAACCAATCTCTGAAATGCAATCTCATCTTGCCAAAATAGTAAGTTAGATGTCCTGGTGATTAATTTGACACAAAACATTAACTGTTTGAGTATTTCCTTCTATTTAATTCAATGTTGGCTCTATGCCAAGTACAAATAGCTTACAAAAATACATAAATAAAACAACTATCATGTAAATAAGTTTAATATGCAAGTTGTATCAATTGCTTAACACTTTTTTTCTTACAGAAAGAAAAGTATGGTGTAAATGTTTGTGGAGAAGGAGGCGAATACGAAACGTTCACGTTAGATTGTCCACTATTTAGTAAAAGTATTATAATGTAAGTTTTAATATCTTTATAAAATTAAGTATAAATTAGTACAAATTATCTTTGCATTTTAGAGAGGAGTATGAAAGCGTAGTCCATTCGAACGATAATATAGCACCGGTCGGATATCTCAATTTCAAAAAAATACATGTACAAGATAAAAATGTAAGTAAATTCTAGTTTTGTTATTTAAAACTGTATCTAACACGAGGGTAAAATATTTCAGGATGGCATAGAAAGATTAACGTTACAAGAGAGATTAAAGAATGTTCCTATTAAAATCCCGTCTGATTACATCGCAGAGATTATCGGTCCAGAATTACACGACGGCTGTAATTTATCAGAAGATGAGAATGACGATCACGATTGTACAGATAGTAGTTTGAAAACGTCGAATTCTGGTAATAATTTTGAACATTGCGAGAAAACCGTAATCGGCTGTGTAGGGGGATTAATATGCGGATACGATACAGGTCAATTTAATCCACCGAGCCCTATGGAAATTTTATACGAAGAGGAAGATTATCCCGATGTACCGGTAGTAAATAAGAATCAAACCGGCTGGTTCTGGTTTGGCGGTATCGCTGGGAAACATCCTGACCCGAAATCCGCGATGAGAGAGGCATTGGAGAAATTAAGCAGTAGGTAAACTTTGAGTCTTTCAAGTCACCTTTCAGTTATTCCTTTTTTTGTCTCTTCATATATATTTCAATACAAATCGTATATCCCGGTATATACTGATGAAACGCACATGTATCAAATGTCTAGGTCTAGTCAAGAAGGAGAATCTTCAAATATCAGACGTCGTTGCTGTAACATTGTACATAAAAGACATGACGAATTACGTATCTATAAACGAAGTTTATACCTCGTGTCTGAGCAAAATAAATCCACCGGTCCGTGTATGCGTTGAGTGTCCGTTAAACGTACACGTTGTGCTCGACGCTATAGCCTATAAAGAAACTCAAGACTGTGGTGATAAAAGAATTCATAAACGACACACAATGCATGTTCAGAGCATAAGTCATTGGGCACCAGCGAACATTGGTCCTTACTCTCAAGCTGTTCGTGTGAGTGTACTATCGTTAAAAAAAAAAAAACGAATTTGCGTGCGCGTCTCTGTGTGTATGTGTAGACAGAATGTGTGTATGTGCGCCGCACTTGTACGCGCACGCACACACATCTAGTTTACAAAAACGAAACATAACAGTGAGGTAAACAAAATCACGTTTTTTTTATAAAATGACAATAAGACATTAAGAGCTTAAATAAGTAACATAAGTTGAACGTACAAGCGATATGTTTACTAACAAAATTGATGTACACTTTCAATTCTGTACTTAAAAATGTATCAATAAGTAGCTTTAGTGTAGTAATAATTGCCATAACAGAAAATGTACGATTATTTGACAGGTGGGTGATATTATCTCGGTTGCTGGACAAATACCCTTGGTGCCTGGTAGTATGACTATTCTGGATTTGAACATTAAAAGGCAGTGCCGTCTGACATTAAGGCACATAAACCGTATTGTTAAAGCTATGGATTCGAATACGCAACTCAGGGACATTGTACAAGGTATCTGTTTTTTGACTCACACTAGTTATATACCAGACGCACGAAAGGAATGGGAAAAACGAACAAATAACGCCATTGTGGATTACATTGTTGTACCAAACCTTCCGCGTGGTGCACAGGTCGAATGGTGTGTATGGGCTCATAGAGATAATAATAGGTTTGAATGTAAGTATCGACCAAAGAAAAATACTTTTAGAAATTTGTTATAACTCAATCTTCTCAGAAAAAATCTAATTATAAAGATATTTGCTTGCAGACGAAGAGACTGGCAAATGTGTAGGTAATTTCAAAGTAGCAATAAGGCGTAGGTGGAACTACGAAAATAATGTTTCAGCGATCGTGTGTTACATGTCTACTGGTATATATTCGTTGTATAAGTACAGAATTATTTTTTTCTTTTGTATGGATAAATGTAGAAAAGTATGTATTTTGAACAGGTTCGTCCAATTCGACTGGCAATTTAGCTACAGAAACGAATTTACCGTCTACAGAACTGACTGTTGGCGAACTAACAGAAGCATTTGAGTATGTATTGTGCAAACTCACAAAAGGCTCGCAAACCGAGAATCCGGCTTGCAATCTGCGGATCTTCTACAAGGTCGGTAGTTCGCCAGGACCGAATTTTGTTCAGGACGTACTATCTAAGTTTTCTACGCGAAATTTAGTCACTACTATCATACCGGCAACGCACTTACATAATTTCAGTACCTTTTTGTCCATATGTGGTATCAGACATGAGTAAAAGGCCGACATCGATATTTACGTTTGTCAATTATTTATAAAATGAGAATACTGTGTCGTAGAGAGGGATTGTAAAAGGACTTTTATTTTCCTTTTAAATTATTTGAATCAATGGGTACGGGAGCTAGGACAAATCGATTTTAATATACAAATACAAAAGAATCATTTAACGGCTATATGAAAGTTGACCACGGTTGTAAAACTTTATACATACACGTATATTCTAAATAATAATTTAACAGTATCGGTGCTCGAATGTAAACATTATTTTCACGTTTTCTACTGGTCGAGCTTATTGGGTTTGCTCGAGAAAAAAAAATATTCACTTGACACTTGTCCATAGTGTATTTATATTCGGCTAGTCAACGGGATATTGGCGTGGATTTTCGATCGTTCTCTGTCCCGTTAGTGTAAGTGTTCTACGTAATGCAAAGCACGTAAGTCGTTTCATAACATGTACTGTATATGCTACGCCTCATTTCTTGCTCAAGCTATTTTTTATTTTTCTCATATTTCACGATACGCGCGGAGTGTTATGTGTGTGATTTTATGAAAGAATTTGAAAGCGTGCACAGCCATTTTTATAGTAGAGCTCAAAGGATATAAAGATGAAATTCAAAAAAGGGAAACGATGGTGTTGCTACGTATCAGAGACGTACTAGGTAAAAATTGAACATTTTTTTATTCGGTATGAAGAGGAAAAAACAATCTAGATTATGCCTTTTTTAATCTTAATAAAAAACATAAAATGACAAGCGGAAATTCGGGATGCGTGCTCTACAGCAAATTGCCCTCCTCCCCCTTCACTTTTCAAATGCTGCCGACGTTATTCCGCTGTTATTCAAACTTTGTATCGTAATGGCAGATATGTAGCTTTACAAAAGTGTTAACAAAAAATGAATATCTACTTCGCAAAAGTATTGTATAAGTCCTCGGTAGTTATATGGCATATAACTGGTCTATGCTTTAGGAAGACGTCTTGTACAAAAAAAAGAAAAAACGACACGCAATATATTAGAATATTTTTGACGGTATAACATTTACGCAACGATATGCCAAAGCTCGTATTTTGCAACTTGGACATTGTTTAAAACGTTTTCGGATACTGTCATTCTCTTTTTTTCTTTCTGTACATATATTGCTAAATAATGTAAAACATTCTTGCAATGTACTATAAAATGTAATTAGTTTCAAAACAAAACAATTGGTTATTGGTGTGGATATTAATGAATGATATGAATTTCTAACGATACGAGATACAACGGAACATACTGATTATGACGTGGAAACTGCGTTACTATAAATATGTAAAAAAAAAATGATATTTGCAAACATTCAACTCTCGCAACAAAACACTATCCCGAGGATTATATTGCAAAAGAAAAATAAAGAAAGTGATATATATTTTTAAGAAATTGCAACTTGCGAGTTTTGTATGTTATTATATTACCCTGTCGTCTTAAATATTCACATTTTATTATCTTTTCAGTTTCTTTTCTAATAATAAAATTTGTATTTACAAACCATAAAATTTTTAATGTTTTAGAAAATTATTTAAACATGTAACAAATATAAATACTTTAAAGACAGTACATTTTCTATGCACATTTGCAAAAGAAAACTAAAGGTTACTATAAAATACGTATAATTTTGTAAAGCAGTCTTTCCATTAATTATTTTTTTTTACCATCCACAATTCATCAACTGTATCCTATTTAAAGTTGAAAAGTTTCCTTAGGGCAATTTAAAGTTCATGGTATGGGGTTCAAAAATTATAAAAATAATTGCAATTTACAAAAGCTCTTACTAACTACTCTGACAAAATTCAGAGTAAGATTTCTTATATTTAACGGTTCATTCGTAGCTAACAATAGTCCTCATGTAACAAAACCTCAATACTTAAAATTGATTTCCATCATACAATTATATACAGCTATATTTCTTCCACTTAAATGTTCATAAAAAATATGTCCATGACAACTAAAAACCATGTGAATCTTCGCGACACATTCACTGATCGTACAAATAGAAAATTCTCCTATATTACGCAATTTCACTGCAGAGACACGTTCACATTTTATACAATTTCCAAATTCAAATAAAAATTGTTCATCTTATAGCACTTTACATTTTCAAAGTTTTCGATACCAATGGTTTTATCATTTGCTGACGATTTGGCGCACAAAAATCACATAGATAATTTTTCCTGTCTAATGGAACTCCCTTGGTCTCCACGCATCCTGTAAGAAAAAAGATTATATTAGTGATATCGATTTGATCCATAATAATTTTTACTTATCTATAACACCCTACACAATTCTTGAACATAATCTTTCAGTTTTGTTTTTCCTACCTGGCTTAAGAAATACATTTACATAATAAAACATACTTGATGAAACATGCAAATGTGATGACATGCAATGAAAAGTAAGTAGCAGAATTATATGGTATTTGTGTCAATACCTAAGTGCAGATATTTGTCACATGCGCTGCAATGCACTAGATTCGCTTCCAGGTCGAGTCTTGGGGCAGTATGACACCGACTGCAGTGCGGGCAATAGCGACCCTTTCGCCATAGCCTTGTTATTGCATAAAGATTACGGTGTTAGTGAACATGGATAAGGACTTGTTATAATACCAGAATTTAGCATGAGATAACTAAAATGACATTTCGAATCCTGGAATGTATGATTATCAGATTGCGAATTTTATGCATTTATAACATTTACTCTTCTCTAAAGATATTGAACAGAAGAAACTGATCTTTATATGATTTGCGTTTCTGTATTTGGAACGATAAGAATTAAGATTTACTTAAACATTCGCAATCTAATGATTACCTTATGTACGTGTGCACAAATGAATGAATACAGACAACCATTTGTTGCATTGCAAGTGATCTGCAACATCCAGGAATTCGGATATTGTAGTATTACAAGCATTAGTCAAACAAACCTTTTGGAAGAGGAGTTTAAAGATTAGGATAAAGGAAATTGTGAAGCACAAATGAAGCCCCGTGATAGTTTAAAGTTTTACATTTTAGTATGTGTTATGGATTAAATTTTCACGTCTGCAGTTCACCAGGGAGAGAGAGAGAAAGAGAGAAAGAGAGAAAGAGAGAGAGAGAGAGAGAGAGAGAGAGAGAGAGAGAGAGAGAGAGAGAG